CTTGAGGCTTCTCGTGGAGGTATGTTGGAAGTGATTGGGGCTGTGGGATCTATGTTGAAGGCTTTGCTGCTGTTATTTTACTTTTTTGCGGCGATGTTCGTCGACTTGGCTGCTTTTTCTCTGCCGTTTGACTTGGGCAGGTAGTCTTTTTGCGTCATGTGTGTATAACATCGTAAAAACCGGACAGACTTTGGATGGTTTCTCTGCCGTTCGACTTGGGCAGGTGGTCTTCTGCGTAGTGTCCGTAAAACACCGTAAAAACCGTGAACAAATTAGGTCCGATTACCCTGCAGCAATAAAATGTTGCTGCTCGGCTTTCCGTGTTTTTCCGACCTGGTTTGCAGAAACACATGAGGTTGTGAAGGTGATTGGCCGAGTGATCGTGGCAGACGCCGAAGATGCTGAACGCATCGCTCGAATCCACGTGCGGAAGGAGCCCAACTTTGGAGGCGATTCGCATGAACAGGTCCTAATCTATTGATTATTTCTATTTGTAGATAATCATATAACTATGTATATAGTTATTTATATATTATTTACACTCATCAACATATTGGTTGAAGGACTCCACCGATATCAAAAAGATGACAAGGAGTTCATCGATTCAAAAGTTGGATAAGCATAAGGGGCTGTATTGGTTGCTGTGCGCAACATGCGGGAAGTTTCTTATGACGTCTGCCCAGGTAAAGATCAGTGTTTCTGCTCGAAACTTGCTTTGGAAAGGATTCCATATTGGATGCTCTTCTGTGATTGTTACACTCGAATGAATATTCTATGGGTGATAGGAGTTATAGTTATATATAGTTATATACATATATATATATTTTATATATACAAGTCCCTCTAAACATCCAGATTTTAAGGCTTGCACTAAACAGCGTGCCAGCAGGCAGGAGGGAGGAAGAGGAAGGAAGAAGGGACCGGGGAGGATCAGAATGCAAAGGTAAGCTTTGTTTGTCCCATGCGCGTCTTCTTCTTGATCAGTGTCGTGTTGTTGTCCTCGGTCTTGCGCAGTATTTGTTGTACTTCTTCTTCGTCTCCTGCTTTCTTCTTCTTCTTCTTCTTCTCGCTGGCCTTGGTCTTGTGCTGCGTTTCGCTGGTAAAGGAGGATGTAAGAGGAAGGAGCAGAAACATGTATATATATCTATAATATAGAAATCCAATGAAATTTAAAAATACAATTTTTGAGGTTTCCATGCAAGCCCCAAGAAGTGGCTATATAAGAGGGGGTGCCGGACGGTAAGTCGATTAATAGGTGTCGCTAAAGAAGGGCAAAAACATGAATTATGCGAACCCACCCGGGTTGCAGAACTCGCTTCACTTTAACGCTGTGGTTTGGACGATCAGCAAGAACCTATAGCGCCTTCATAAGAACTGTTCTAGGCAGTTCACAGTCTTATATGTCATGATGTTATGATCATTTCAAAGACTGAGAGCGTGCTATCAAATTCCAATTTGCTTTTGGAAGGCAGCTTCTGGCTGGCTGACCGGCCTGATGGCCATATTTTAGGTTCATGTTTCGTACAGCGAGCCGAAGCTCGTTCTGCGTGATACTATATAGTAGCTTATGTGCACTACTTAGCTTCGCGTTTTTAGCCTCGGACAGGCTTAATGGATAGCATCATTTCAACCGTGGACAATGAGCACTGGCGTCAACAACGTCAACACCTGATTGAGGCATTTATGCCCTTGTCGCTGCTTGGCACAGGGAGAATCAATCAATTTGCTTCCAACCGTTTCCCGTCAATTTCCCGTAGAATCTGTTTATAGATGGACAGACAGTTTGGTGTTCCAAAGCTTGTTCAGAATCTTAGGAGACACAAGGGCCTTAGGTACTGATTGACCCAAGGTCTTTGGCCAAGATCATGCCAGTTTCACTGGCACGTGCCAAGGACAGGAGAAGTGCCTGGCTAAAGACCATGCACATACAAAGTCAAAGGTGTCGATTTCACTCTTACCGTCACTTGCTTCATACACGGGCCTCTAATTTTCCTTAGAACATGGTACATAGAGGACGAATACCCCTATTTGATGTATGCAGTATGTCCTTGGATGTTGATGTGTGAACCCTGCAAACATTGCCAACCAATACCTACAATGTCCGTGTGTAAACGCAGAAAACGATATGGGGCGTCCTAGCTTTGAATGACAAACCCTAAACTCATCACTCAGCAAACCCACTCAAATGAGTCACAGTGAGAACCCACTTGCAACCACACATCGTTGAGAGTGAGATGTGAATGCATCGCGATGTTTCTTTGAGCTCTGTTCAATGTTCCCTTGACCCCCTTGAATAACTAAGCTGCCCAGCACACAATCCGATTCTTGAGCACTTGTTCTTTCAGGAGTGCTCTGAGCGTTTGCGGGAGATGGCCGAGAAGGGCCCTGTTGACATGAGCAACTTTCTATTGTGCCATGCCGTTCAAAAGCAATTGCTTTGCACAGATTTGCAAGCCTGCATATTTTCAAACACGTTTCTGCAAATTCGGCAAGCACGTTGAGGGTCAGAATAACACCCATAGGACAATGTAATAAACTAAATACCACATGAGCCACCATTAATGTTCCAGTGAGCCACCATGTCAGTTCCTGCTGGAAAGTGCTTGGCAGGAACATAGGCAACAGTTTGTTATTTAGCAGGTCTTGAATCTAAACGTCTGATTCATTGATGCACGATGCATGCAGCACATGCAAATAGAAAGCTGGAAGGGGTGAGTGACTGGTGTTCTACCTAAAGAGAGACAGCAGGATTGAACAGAGATGACATCCAAACTTTTTTATTTCCCTCAACCCTTCTGAACGCTTGTCTGAGGCACGAAGCACAGGCACAACTGCAGCTGGCACTGTTGGGAGTGCCAGAGGAGATCATGGAGGAAACAAATGCAGGCAATTTGGGGGCAGCTGGTCTCGCCCTATCCTTTGAATTGAGGATTATATAGTAGCGATTGTTTTGACTGTGATGGTTTTGAATTTTGAGTACCACTCATCAGCAAGTGGCAGCAGAACGTTTTTTTGTTTGCCTTTGGCGGGGCATCAATCAGATGGAAGCAACTTTTTTGCGGCTGCACTCCCAGGTATTCGCCAAACCTTCATGCTCAGCCCTGATGCCAAGATTGGCCATTTGAGTGAAGCAATGCCACCTGGCAAAGAGCGGTGCCTTCCAAAGGGCAGTCTTGTGATCAGAAGACTTAATGAATTTGCACATTCAGTGTCCCTTGACATGCCTGCATGGGCAATTGCTGGAAGGGTGCAACGGAGAACGCATTGCTGTACTGTATCATGTTGTAGCATTCCACAAGCCTGGCTTTGCACTGCAAGAAACTAGGTCCACAAGCCATAGATGGCCCGTGCGTTTTTCAGGTATCAAGCTGTTTCAACCACATGTGAAACACGCAAACCCATTGAGAAGTGCCTGCGTGGTAAATCCCCTTTCAGGTATATAAATTCCCTTTCCGCAACCTGGAAACTATCGGTGAACACATTTTTCTCTACTTCTTCAGCAGAATTTTCAGCTCATGCAAAGAGTGTCGGAATCACATCAAAATCCACCGTGTTCCTCTTCGACACTACGCGTGAGACAGTCCATGAATTGATTGAGGGTGAAGGAGTTTGCACCAAACACTGGCCTCGGACCCTCCAAACCCTGACCTGATGGGAACGAAACCACCCTGGCCTCACTAGGAGCAAGAACGCTACTAGGGGCTCCCGGCATCACTACTAGGAGCGAGAACGCTACTAGGGGCACTAACTCCGAAACAGTGGACGTGCCGCTGACCATCCTGAGAGCCACACTGCCAAGCGACCGCATGAGTGCATCTGGAGATATGCGTCCAAAGCACACACTAGACTCTAGACCAGCTTTTAACATCCGAGTAAGCACTAGAACAGCTGCCTGTCGTTGCCTCCCACCACCCCTCGCCCCCCCCACACCCACCAACCCACTCACCCACTTGCCACACGCCCACTCACCCATCAACGACATGTGACGTTGATGCAATGTTCGTGAACATGCACCACACAATATGACCGTCTGTGGCCTGTGCACCAACATGCTGCAGTGACATACTCTGATTAGACATCAATGACCTGAGTTGAGGCTGAGAGTGAAGGGGCAGCTGTTGGTGTTGGCATGAGCCACGCGTGTGCAATAAGGAAGGGTCTCATGAAACTTGCCCGAGAGGATGCCAGTGTAGGCAAAGGGGGGCGATCATGACGCAGCTGGAGAACGGACACGTTCCTTTGAGTCTTCGATTCTCAAAGATGCAAACATGTTGGCAAACAATCATGTGAGTGGAAGATAATCGTGGTCTCCCTTTGGCCCTATGACACCAGAACGGAACATTGGGGATCTCTACCTAACGAGTGGTCACGTGCTTGGATCCTTCAGAGTTGAATCTGTTTTTGATGTTTTGAAGAGACTGTGTTGCCCTTGGCCAGCTCTTCCTTCTGATGGCTGCCCAGTCCGAGGCTTGGCCGTGCGACTTTTGGGATCGGAGCAAGACAACAAGGGCCCTACGATTTCTTTTTGGTTCACTTGTCATTTTTTGGTTTGCCGCAAATACATAGCGCCGACTTGGGACGAAAAATAAATTACATACACATATGATACATAGTAATCAAATGTCATCAACAAGGCCAACAGCAAGAGCAAGATTGTGTTTTTCACCAGCTTCTCCTGTCTTTGAGACACTTTGACATGCCGCTCAGGAAGAGTTAGGACCAATGCCCTGAGAGCCTCAGATGTAAACACACTTTAGTCATTTTGTGCATGATATAATTGCTAGTCCAAAGTGAAGCACACTTGCTGTGCAGGCCCACTATCACGGGCTTTGCAAACCGGCCATTTCGCGAGCAGCACAGATTATGGGATGCTGGGCTGTTGTGGGGGCGCTTTGTTTAGCGGCCCACTTTCGGGCGATCCTGCGTTGGAGCTACCACAGGAACTCTTGCGACAGTAGAGTCAGTAATTAGAGTCGCCAAGCACACGCTCGATAAGTCTGATAAGTGGCTGCGGAACGTCCATTTGGAACGAAATTAATTCAAGTGATGGTTGAGACTTGGATGGGCTCCGTGCGTCATGGGAACATCCTTTTCTTCTTGTCTACAGAAGGGTAACGTGACCTGTCCAAGATGCCGGTTGCATCCGGTTGCATTTTGAAGAACCAGCCAGCCCATAAACCTGCAACCAGCACAGGGTGAATGAAACAACTACTCCCAAACGCTCCGATGTGTGAGTTAGTGGCAGTATGCGTTCGAGGCTTCCCTTGAACCACTGCATATGTTTGTTCATGTTCTTGTGTAGACTTTTGCATTGTGAGGGATCGGGACGAATCGGGACCGAGGAATTTGCTGCTGATCCTTTTTGCTGGCCATGACACCACAGGCGAGTCCATGCGACTGATTTGCCCACAATGCCACAAAATCACTTCAGAACTTAAGGCCCTAGTCGACCTCTTTGTGTGGAATCTAAAAAAAGCACTCCCTCCGCGCAATGCAATTAGCAGAGACTTTGACGTAGGTCCGGTTGTGTTTCTTTCTTTTGATGGCGAACAGAAGAAGACAAATCAGCAGTTCCAAAGGAAACCGTTGCAAGCATTTGAACAGTTCACACACACACACACACACTTTTGGGATTCAAAGGCAACCCCGCGCTTCCTCAGTGTGATTGCGAGGACACACCATGACCTGGCTCCTGTTTGAACTCGCTCGGCATCCGGAGATTCAGCAACAGGTGCAGGAGCACATCTAGCAGATGGTTTAATCTGCTTCCACTCAACACATTTAGAACTTTAGACAGCTAAACTTGCTGAACCACTTCAGGACGGTGTAAACCTTTTTTGTCTGCTTGAAGGTGTGGAGGCGTACAACAACTTTGTGAGAAGTCTTGGAATTTTGGTTAAGACGGTTACTGTAAAAAGATTGGCAAATTGATCCTGGAAGCTTTGGTCCCCCGTCAGGTTTGTTGGTGTGCACAGACTAGATGTCAGGCTTCAAATCTAAGGCATATATATATATACATATATACACACACACTCTCTGAAGTGGAGAAAGACTCACAGGCCTAGAGCATGCAACATTTCCTTTGAGAGGTAGCCAGTTGGTCCATGCCAAAAAATGTCTTAGCGCAGGACTGTATATTTGTACGTGAATGATGTTTATTTGAAAGGCCCATCAGTGTCCAATCAATCTGCATTCAAGGAGGAAGTGGACCACTTCTTCGCGTCCTTGTGTGGACGGGATCCCTCGTACCAGGAGAGCTCTCGGAGAGCGCTTCAGATGTATGATGTTGACCCCTTTCAATGGATATCATCATCGAGCAAATACATCACCAGTATATACTCACATGCATGTGCAGGGTAACCGCCCTGCCCAGTGCGCTTTTGCAGCAGGATTTGAGCGGATTCGACTTGTTGGACCGGTGTATCACCGAGCCTCATGGTGGAATTAGACTCGGGAATCTGAGAGTTGGTGCACGACAGACAGGTATTCACAGATTTGGGGGATTCTGCTTTGAGGTCTGATGCTCAGACTGTAGCTGGAGCTTCCAGTATAATTTTATAAAACCTAGCTCCTCCTGATCAAGTCTCAATCAGCAGCCAGTCATTTTTGAGCAGTCATACTACTCTTCATCGAAAGTTAGGGACTAGGGACAGTGGCACTTGCGACCAAGGACTCTTCGATTGTGGCCGGCCGTGGCAAACGGGACCTTCCGCCAGTTGCAGCCGCTTGGCAGAGTTTGGAGCTCTCCCCAAGACGATTGTGGTGCTTGAAGATCCAGAGGATGGGGAACATGAGCAAACGAAGCACAACCAAATCGGTTTGCTTTACAGTGCCTGCCGTAAGACAACAGAGCTTGGCGCAAAACTCGCTGCCAAATCAGAACACAAGGTTCGGTGAAGACCTGAAAGGCGTTGGTGGGCAGGCGCACACACAGAGCTGTCAACAAGTGTGATGTGTTTCATTGTTTGAATGAAGTATTTGGACAACACATTGAGGCTGCAGTGGCTCATGCCAACTGACTTCCATTCCTCGGAGCCGTACCGTGTAGCTGTAGCATGTAGCGTGCTGTAGCGGAGTCCTTTGGAGGTGCAGCTTCCGAAGGGCACCTTTGTTACCGTCACCAACTGGCAGGAACCTCAGAGTTGTCCATACATGTATACAGTACTATATAAAGTAGATTAATACATATATATTTATATGTATATAATGATATATATATATATAGACATAGACATAGATAGATCATGGTAATAGTATGTAATAGTTCTGTTTGTGTCTTTTTGATGACCCACTTGTTGCGCATGGCACATCTTTGACTGAAGGTGCCGTCATCGGAATCCTGAGCTTTGGGGTGCCGACGCAGACACCTTCAACCCTTGGCGCGACTTCAGCCAGCAGGAGAATACGCTGCTTCGGCTGCCTGAGTTTCCCCTGCGTTAGCACAATGATGTAGGGGTGGTGGAAGTCTCCGTTCTGTGTAGATTCGATTTTAGATGGGGCCCGGCCCCCCCGCGTTGGCATGACACTTGAAATAAGTGAGATTTTAGTAATGGTATTGGGAAGTATGGGCCTAGACAGCTCGACGACCACAACAAAAGATGCAAGAAAATGCAAAGGAACATGACTGCATTACCTGCATATTTTCACACCAACAGCTACGAACCCCGCCGTATTAAGTGGAACTGGTTTTGATGCAGTCGCATATCTTTTCCGACCGCGTGCACTCCAAACCACCTTTGAAGAATTCATTCGATTTCATGTGAAAGTTCGTAGAAAAGGAGCCGCAGGCAGCTTCGCCCCTTCAGGAGTTGGTGCGGGTTGGCTGCCCTATGGCAGCGAGGACTCCTCAGAGCGCACGCTTCTCCCCTTTCGCACACAATCCCCGCAGCTGTTTGGGGAAAAACTTTGCACAGATGGCACCATGGCACGCAGGGAAACATGAGAGCAAGACTTGGGAGACCAGGTCTGAAATTTTCAATTGGTATTTGATGATGTATGATGTTTATCCTGCGTGTGTTTTGTGAACTGGTAGCTGGGTAAAAAGCAACATTAGTTGTGCACCTTTCTTTGAGGATTTTGGAGTCGATACTAGAACGCTCTGGTTGAGACTTTTTAAGTCTAGACGGGTAGAGAGGTCCTGTTTGAAAGAATCTGTGATGCATGCGCTGAGGAAATGAGGCTTATCCTCTCCTACATTTTGGGGCAGTTCAGCTTCTCCTTGGCCCCCCCATATGACAGCTTGAAGGATGTTGAGTTGAAGGCACAGCATGATTTGCACCGCTGCTACACACCTCCAACCCTTCTTCAAGGTGAAGTTGTCCTTTGTATTCTCCCTTAGGATTTGTAGTGATTGTAGTGGTCCTCAGTTAAGACATTCGATACAATCTGAGAAACAGATACCCACTGGCCCTGCGCACAAGACATTGTGTGCTTTCATGTGCTTTTACCCTTTTGCATGGGGTCATGATGGTCCGGGTCTCGAAGGTTCTTAAGATCCTGACAGGTGGCTGAGACGGACTCCTTGAAGTTCCGTGGCATCAACAAGGGTGGCACCATGGGACCCATGGACTTGGAGCGAGGAGGCTCGCCAGTGACCGCCTCCAGACCACCTGGCTGCCATGCGCTGTAGATCTTGGGTCCAAAAGTGGGGCACCTGACATGCTGTCTCTTCCATTTGGACATTCTGGCACTCGTAATGTATGGATAGCCGTGTAAGCAAGTAGTACTATTGTATAGAGCTTTGCTGCGAGTCAAACACGCCTTTATAGTTGAAGCTCATCGCTCAGTCAATGGACGTCCATTTCAACTTCACACCATAGCTTTTGCGGCGATATAAAACCGGCCCATGCAATGCATCACTTATTTGCACGATGACTTGGCTTAATCTTCCAAGCGCAAGCAGTGTGAAACATCATGTGCAGGTTCAGTGTGCTCTGGAGAGCGCTTCCAAATTGCCCTGAAGCTCCATGTGCAGCCGAGAAGAGCCTAACTTCTGGTTCATGCGAGAACGTGACCAGTTGAGCAGGCAATATACTTTGAGTATATTTTGAGTAGCCAAGACCGTCGACCACGTTTGAAATTGGACGATTCGTGGTCTGCTTTGGCCAGATATCTGGCAAACACATGTGTCGATGGATGCGGCCTTTAAGCGTATCCCAGTCCGATGCTCGCTTTCTTCCGGCAGTTGTATTCTCTGTGGTGGACGGAGCGGTCAGGAGGTGAAACCGCTTGGGCACCCCCGTGTAGCGGCCCTGTGAGGCAAACAGATCTCCTCCAGGCCTAATTGGTTAGGAACTAATTTTTGGTAGATCGACCCAATCAGCTTCCTTGCCCGATTTGCACATGCTGACCAACAGTGAAAGTACTAATTACAGCTAATTACGGTAGTACTACTACCTACATGTTCCTTGCTAGGAAAACCTACAGATGCACGGGCTTCTTGACGACTGAAGATCACTTCCCAGCAAGAACCATCTCTATCACCTGGGAACTAGCTGCAGAATATCTGGGAGATCAAAAAATTCTACATGCCTACATGCCGTCGTAGTCGATATGCTACAAGAGCAGTCTATTTTCTCCTTTGAGTTTAAGCGACTGTTTGTATACAAATAATGTTGCCTATCAGATGCCTTATACATAGAGTGTGCTCTCATTCTGGGAAGGAGAAGACATTTTTGCAACAAATCATTGCATCTAGCCATTTTGAGAGGGGTGTTGGGTTCTGGGAGAGATCCTCTAAATCATTGATAATTTTCTGTTGCTTTGCCCCGAATGAATGAAAGAGGTTACTGGGTAGCTTTCTTGGTTGACGTGGGTGCCACGAACCATTCACTAGATGAGGGACTCTAGTGGCCGAACTCTATATAGTTACTTCAGGTGAATCACTTGAGGACTTATTTGTGGGTTTCCTTGAGCAAAAGAGTAAAAGCGACAGAGCCCCTCCTGCTAGCCAGAGCCTCATCTTCCCGACCCGCGCAATTGACTAACCTTCCATGTTGCCTCATACGGGGTACGCCAGTCTGACTCTATCAGTTTTGGAGGTGAGTGAATGTTTGGTCGCCAGCTTCCTCAGATTTTGTGATAGTGCGGGGAGAAAAGACAAAGCGCCGTTGAAACAGCTCTTTATTTTTTAGGGCCAGGAACATTTAGAACATCACCAGCAGATTTTTGTCAGAACCTTGGGACACCGACGATGCCAGTAGAAAGGACTAGTTACGAGTTGGGGTTGGGTTGACAAGAAATCTGTAGATTGTAGATGTTTTCTCAAGGGTTCCAACTCAGAAATCCTCCTCACTTGCCACTTCTTCGCAAGGTGCCCCAGCGCTGGCGCAGTTTCCACGGGGAACTCACTGAGGCTGGCCAGAACAAGCTCACATTTGGCGTTAGGAATAGAGGAGAAAGTCTGGAATGTAAACATATTTAATACGAACACATTTAATTAACAATTCATATTTAGCAACCTTTTTATTGGCACCAGAAGGAGACTACGTAGGCAAACTAGACACAGAAACTTGGACAAGCACGACTGGTGCAGGATACCCTCTATGAGAATCGTGAGGGCGAATTTATCAGCCATAATATCGAGGGCGAATTGTGTGCCTCACAGGCCAACTGACCAGAGACGAGAGCAGACGAATGACTGAGAGTGGATGTGATTCTTGTTTTTGAGGAACACAGGGAGCATGAGATCCACAAGCATCGCAAGAACAACACTTGCCAGCATTGGAAGGTTGTGCTGGACCAGCCTTCTACTTTTTGGCGAGCAAAAACTTGGCATTCCGCATAGTGCGAGGCTCAAGCACAGTTTCAGTAGTTCCCGCTATCTTGGGTCATTTTCGCCCTTCGGTCCCACCAGTTTTGCGATGGCGACAGGTGCCAGAAGCGTGTTTCATTCTTTGGTGAAGACAGTTCCTGACTTTTGACAGTGTTTTCATTTTGCAATCGTGAAAAGACACGACATAATCCTCCCCTATCACTCAGATTACTGATTTATGCAGACATTTCAATGTATACCAGTTTATTAAGACTGCGGGGGACTGTGAGAGTGCAGTTTTCCTGCCTTCATTTGTTGCTCAAAGTTTGAACTCTTCACTCACTGGACTGTAAAGATGCTTTTGTCTTGACTCAAGGGCAGCTCTTGGAAGATTCTACTTTTTTTTCCCAATTTATACATTATTTCTACTGTAAGTTGATTCTATTTTTGTTCTAATTTAGTTGTGATGTATGTTTGCTTTAATTTCAGTTTGTTCTTTATACAATTCACAACTAATTGTTTTACAATTCTAACTGCCATGGTTCTATTTTTTTGTTTCATTTATTTCAGATTTGCTTCTCATTTAGTACTATCTTTATTACAACTTATTTAAGTTCCAAAAGCTTCATATTAAAGCTATCAGCTCAAAAGCAACACATCCTTTCTAGAATTATAATGGCCTTGTTTAGGAATTAAGTAGAACTATATAAATTAGAACTGCGGTACAGTTAAATTTGCATTGAGTTTCAATGCAATTCAAGATTGAATTCACTCAATTTGTGTTGAATTTGAATTAGACGCAAATCAGAATTAGACTGAAATTGTAAAACAAACTAAGTTGAAGTGTCCAAGAATAAAACTTGCATTAACATAGAAACAAATTTAAATACATTGAAACAACCATGTGATGAACATGAAAATAAATAAGAATCACATTTCAATTGTGCAGGCATTATATAATTTAGAATGAAATTCAACTTGAATTAGAATTATGTTTGACAATTAGTCGGATTAGACTTTATTAAACATGAAGCAACACTAACTTATTTAAATTAGAGTTGACATTGAATTAATATACAATTCGGATTAGTTATATATTTAAGATGAACATTCAATTTTTAGAATTCATTTAGATTCAAATTAGAACTAGGTTAGACTTTAATTAGCTTCAATTAGAATTAAACTAGAATTCAATTTAGAATTGAATTAGGTTTAAGTTAGAATCTACTTTTACTAATACATTCTAATGAATTTTGGCTTTAAATAGACATATTGTAGTGTTGTAAAGCAGTTAAACTGGAATTGAATGACCTGAGCTGAGCTGCAATTAAAGTAGAAATACAAGAGAATCTGAACTTGAAACAAATTGGAATTAAACTATAATTATACTTAGATTAGATTAAAGCTAAATTGAGATTAAAGGAACCTTAAACACAAATTGAAATTATTGTAGAATTGAATCAGAACTCAATTTGAATAAAGTTAGAATGGAACCATGCCCAAGCCTCTCAATTTGGAGACAAGAAGGGCCGGAGTCATCAAGTACAATGCTATCAATGAGGATCAGACCAAAAACCTCGAGAAAAAAAAACCTTAAAACAATTCTCCAGTACTGTTTTGCAGACAAGGTGAGGCATTGAAAAAGCCTCCTGAGAGTTGTTGTTTTTTTTGCCTTGGTTTGTTTTCAGTTTTCTCAAGGTTTTGGTTGCCTTTTGGTTTTCTCATTGCACATGACATGGCATGAAGGCAGACAACAGTGGAAATGTATGTCGCACACAGACAAAGAACAATCAGGCAGATTTCTTTAATGCAGAAATCAGGACAAACTGCACTCTCACAGTCCCCTGTTTCGTGTTTAAAAACGGGTACTATGTTTGCCAGTGCATTCGTAAAAGTGCCAGGAACTGTGATGAAAGTCTCTGGCCCCTTGGTGGTCGCCGAAAACATGTCCGGCACCAAGATGTACGAGGCAGGACACGCTGATTCGTGCGCTTCTCTGAACGCAGCAAGAATCTGATGTCAACCTGATCTGAAGCGGGTAGCATTTGCAGCACGCCATGTGCAAAAGTGCTAAGGCGACAAGGCGATAAGCATGGACAACAGAGCACCGTGAGTGCAGTATCCTTCTTTTTTCTGCGCTTTGGTGGTGTTGGTACGGAAGGGCATGGTTCCTTTCAACAGAAGACGAGAGTGATTTGGCTTGGAGGTCGTGCGTGTCGGCAAAGACAGATTGGTTGGAGAGATCATTCGCTTGGAGGGTGACACGGCCAGTATCCAAGTCTATGAGGAGTGGTGCTTTCTTTGTTCATGAGCTGGCAGGCACTCTTTTTTGGCAGTAGCAAAGAAAACCCTGCAGCCCCTTTTCATATCAGGTTGAAATATGTTGAAATCATTTATGTAGCTATGACTTAGTTCAACCCTGCATTTGCATATGTTTTTGCATATATATATATATACATATACATACACACCTTTCATGATAGACACATTTTGCCGTGCTGGAGCATCCGAGAAAGACTGCTGCATTTAGCTGCTAGGATACTTCTGGACTGACTGTGGGCGATCCACTGGTGAAGACCGGTCTGCCCTTGTCCTTGGAGCTTGGACCAGGCATCCTGGATGGAATCTACGCCTCTTGGCAAACAGGGAAGATGTGAAGCCACACCTCGTGCGACGACTCTCCAGATTCCATGCAAAGAGTATGATGTTGAGAGTCACTGTTGTGGACTCCTCGGACCAGAATCACTTTCTCTTGATTTGCTTGGTAGACCAAACAAGGAGAAGCCAGCAAAACAACATATCCAAATATAATCCAGGGAAGCTGTCACTGCGATGCTGCTGAAACTAGTCTAGGGGAACTGCCATTTAGTTTTGCGCAGCGCTACGTAAGCACGAGGGGTATCAAGCTGCCACCAAAGACAACTTTGCAACATATATCATTGATTCTTGAAGCTGGCATTCTGTGAGCAACCAAGGATGGCATTCAGCGGCCCTTGGAACGTATCCAACAAATGGCACAGAGTGTTTTTGTGCCCCGTGGAGTAGATGTGCCGAACCTGGACCGGGAGAAGCCACTTAGATGACATTCTTCTCGTTGGCCAACTCGTTGCACTCCAATGACTCAAGTCTCATGCACTTCACAGCAACAGATCGGATCCTGCAGTTGAAATGTCACCTTTGGCAAGGGTCAAGTGGTTTGAAGATGCATGAAGATCGTTTTCCTTTAGAGGGTTTCTGTGCAGCTCTGGAAAAAGCAATCACATCAAATTGTCAACGCTTGTATGACTTCATGGCTTGGTGCTCTATTGGTCTAAGGCTTTGGGAGTACACGCCTGAGAACAACATCAAGGCCAGGTCGAGTCGGTCACGAAGGAACATCCACTTGACAGCTATTTTACTGTTCAACAAGGGTATTTGTGGCTTTACCTAAACGACTCGATGGTTTCATCATGGTCACCAAATGGCACTTTTCGCGAGCTTGTAAACTCCAAAAGGATAGACAAACATGTCCTGCCTGGGCCTAGGCCTATTACATCATCGAGTATACTAATTTGAATTCTGCACACTGAAGCAAGCACATGCAAGTGCAACTCATGAGACAATCCACTCCACCTTTCCTTCAACCCTTAGCATCCCTTTAGGCATCAATTTTTTGTGTACACTACTGTTCGTAGTTATGTCTTGTTTCTAGTAGCATCTTTGTTCCTAGTAGTAACGCCAGGAGCCCCTAGTAGTGTCCTTGCTCCTAGTAGCGATGCCAGGAGCCCCTAGTAGCGAACATTGTTCCTAGTAGCTACTGTGCGTACAAGTTGTTCAGCGCGTTGTTTACTTTTTGTCTCTTCCCTAGTTCCGCTCACCCGGGCTTCTTCAGGTGGGCGACTTGGTGACCGGTGGTGACGTGGTGGGTGTTGTGAAAGAGAACGGGCTGCTTGGCTCGCTTGGATCACAAAAAAACATAATTACTTCAAATCAAACGGATGTATGCCACCCAAGAAACTTTCTAAACGAAGTTCAAACCTAGTTCACTTTCTGAAACTTGAGGCTCTTCAAGAAGCACTACATCATGGTGCCTCCAGGAATCAAAGGTCGCCAGGAGCTGAGGTGGATTCGCTGTTTCATATGACAGTGGCAACGTGTAGCTCCTGGCCTTACTACTAGTAACAAGGTTCGCTACTAGTAACAAGGGCGTCGCTACTCGTAACAAGGGCATTACTACTAGTAGCAAGAAGCTACTAGTAGCTCCTGGCCTCAGTTCACTTCTTCTAATGTCAATGATGATACGTGCATTGACATGAACATCTTGCATACGCACACGATTCACAAATTCCTCATGCAGATGTGTTCAGGTTAATCGTTGACCTCCCTGTCTTCGGTCTGAGGTGTGAAGGCAGTTATGCCTGCTGGCAAGTACAAGATTGAGACCCCTGTGGTGGAGGTTGAAGAGGCACTGGAGTACAAGAGGGACGTGGAGCCATTGAAAGGACTGTCAAGTTCACCAAATGAGGCTCTCACACTAGACGTGCCAGGCCGGCAAGAGCATGAAAGTCGAGCTGTTCCAGTGACTTTTTCTGCATGTGTTTTCACCTCGGTGTGCTGTAATTGTGATCACCTGTGATTTTGGAACGGCAATACTCCAACTGAGCGTTGAAACTCGTGTAGGCACGGGCTGCGGATAAAGGAATGAAAACTGGTCTGACCGAACTTGCACACCTGTCTATATTTGGAACTAGATCTCTGTGTTGTATCATTCTTTTTGCTGTCAATCTCCGCAGATGCTTGCCACACCCGGACAAGTCCTGAAGACCTGTGAGAAATGGCTCTGAGGAGATGGCCGGTGCGTGAGGCCCGACCTGTGGTGGAGAAGCTCCAGGGTAAGGAGGCTCTTTTGACCTGTGAACGGGTCCCTTGGCCAAGCCTTGGCTGACAGCCAGGAGCCCTTAGCGATGCCCTTTGCTCCTAGTAGCGTTAAGGCCAGGAGCCCCTAGTAGCTTCTTGCTCCTAGTAGTAAGCCTCAAAACAGAATTTAATTGACAAACAAATGCCACGATCTAGTCATGCTGCAATGCCAGATGCTGCAAGTTGCACTCTGCGGAGACACAGAGTTGCAATGACCAGAGTTCAAATCACTGATTTGATTTTTTAAGTCCTTTTCCTCCGGGAAATCACAGCTTTGGAGGGTGGAGACAAGCTTTGCACAACAAATTCAATCAAATTGATACTACCGGATATGAACGAATCTAGAAGTGGAAGACGTTACCACTGTTGTTGAGATTTTGAGGTCATTGATGCGCTTTTCCCAGTCACCTTGGGTGGAACAGCCGCTGTGCCTGGTGCCTTTGGTTGCGGCAAGACAGTGATCTCCCAGGCTTGGCTTTTTGGGAGCGTGGGCAAGTTTTTTTCAAGTCAAACAGTGAAGAGCAAAGATGAGCCAAGCTCATGTTAATACTTTTGTCCACGCAAGACTTTGAGTATACATAGACATAGACAGAGATTGGTCATCCAGTCAGTACCGGCGAAAAGTGGACTTGCGTACAAACTTGGTGTGGACAGCCTGGCCGGTTTGCAACTCGGTATTTTCACCGTGCAAAGCGGTTCGACTCTTGACACTGCAGGCCTTGTCCAAATACTCTAACTCAGATGTGGTCGTTTACGTGCCTCAGATGAGACGGTGGGCGCAGGGAGGAGCATGGAGCTATGTAGCCAAGGTAAGAAGCAAAGACTTTGAAGACTCAGAACATTTGGAGTCTCCAAGGAATTTCTCCCGTTTGGGAGAAGACACAGAAACTTCAAAAGATACCTAGAATTGTGGAAATTCCCGAACTGCATGGACTCCGAATCTGCATTCGCATAGGACACAACCCAACTCTTGAGATATTTACGATAATTTCATAATACGTTTCTATTTTCTTTTAAAGGCTCTCTGACACTGGAAAACATTTGGTCAAGAGCCGAGGTGGGCTGCGGGGAGCGTGGAAATGAAATGGCCGAAGTGCTCACGGACTTCCCTGAGCTCACCACGTTGATCGATGGGAAGGCAAGAAAGAGCCCAACGATGCCAAGGGAAGAACACTATGCTGACCATGCTGGTTCCTTTTGCAGTCACGCCCAGTGCTGAGAGGAAAAAAGCTTGCTAGGGTGTCTCGTGAGGAAGAGCCCATCATGCAGCGGACCACACTGGTGGCGAATACCTCCAACATGCCTGTGGCCGCGCGAGAGGCTTCCATCTACACAGGCTGGAGAAGCTTTGAGATCTCCATTTTTTTGCATTTCATCAGTCTGTCAGTGGCACAGATGTGGGCTACATATTTCTCAGAATGCAACAACTTTTTTTTCCAAGAAGTTGAGGGCCAGTTCCGAGAGCAGGTTTGCTCCGTACCGGTCCAGAGTCACCAACCTACACTTCCTGAGTCGTGCGGCTATGATTGCTTGAGGTGTGACGACCGCTGAGTACTTCCGAGACATGGGCTACAATGCCTCTCAGCAGACATTGTTTTGCCGCTGTTGGCGAATCCACCGGTTCATTGAATCTCCACGAGAATGGTTCTGGAAGAAGAAAACCAACGACCAAGCAGGTTTCCCTCTAATCACAAGCAGCTACTAGTAACAAGGGCATCGCTACCAGGAGCAAGGACGCTACTAGTAGCAAAGGGCTTCGCTACTAGGAACAAAAAGCATGTGATTGGTGTGGCTTCCAAGGTGGCGATGATGGCGGATAGCACCTCTCGCTGGGCTGAGGCCTTGCGCGAGATCTCTGGTCGTCTGGCCGAGATGCCTGCGGATGCGGGCTACCCTGCATACCTGGGAGCGGGGTTTGAACAGAATTGGTCCAGTGGCGCTTGAAGTTGTCAAAGTCGTACCAAAATGTAGAAGGAAAACTGAAACACACATATATAGTGTCGGCTGAATTTTGTGTTGGCTAAGTGTAGTAGAGCCAATTTTAATTGAGAAATTTTAGATTTTCCCTGCTAGCACCTGGGATGGCATCGCTAGCTGCAGGAGCGCGATTGGCCTCCTTCTATGAGCGTAGTGGCCGAGTGCAGTGCTTGGGCAATCCTCCTCGCGAGGGCTCCATCACCATCGTCGGTGCCGTGTCGCCACCAGGTGCATGGACCAGATGAAAGAAGTCCAAATCCTGAAAGCCATTTGAAAGCACCGAAAAAGAGAGATAAAAAAAAGCTTTTTGCCCGAGATGTGGAGACACAGCTTGCTCTGTGTGGGTGCAGGTGGAGACTTCACTGATCCAGTGACCTCTGCAACCCTGAGTATCGTGCAGGTCTTCTGGGGTCTGGACAAGCAGCGTGGCTGTATCAAGTGGTTCATGGTCGGAGGTCCAGACTGTAATCGTACTCCTCGTGAAACGAAGGTCCAGACTGATGTTGCTAGGCTGTTTATTGTCATGTCCTTTGATTGATGTCCTTTTTGTTGTCTGGGGGCGGTTTCACTTGGTTGTGGTGAAAGTGTTTCCTGAACTCTGAGTCCTCAGGAAATTGGCCCAGCGCAAGCACTTTCCCGCGGTGAATTGGAACATTTCCTTCTCCAAGTACATCCGTCGCTTGACTTGCATTCAAATATATTCAAATGAAGGACATGCATTTGGGGTTAAAAGTGATGTTCCTTGCATTTCTGGAACAATGACACTTGCGTCTCCAATGGCTGACAAACCGGTGAGCTTGTTTCTGGGTGGTCGCTAACAAGGCGTGTTGGAGCCTTACTTCGAGAAGTACGATGCGGAGTACAGCAACTTGAGCATACGGAGGGCCGACAATCCATGACCGCCAATCATCGTCAGTGAATCTTGCTAAGACATGATACAACAGATCCTGAAGGTTGGCTCAAACAGAATATGATGCAACATGTTCGCAGACTTAGCAACTTAGGCATGTGCCAGTAGGTCAAGTTTCTATTTGCCTTATGTCCAAGTGCTCTCAAACTGCAGCATGTGCAATTACATGTGACACAGGGTTCGATAATCCTCTTCACAAAGATCACTAAGATTGTCTGAACTGTGCGGCAAGGCATGCTCCAGCAAAAGATGAAGGAGATCCTGCAGAAGGAGGATGACCTGCAAGAGATCGTGCAGCCTTTTGGTGGCGAAGAAATGTGACTACGTTCTGGCAAGTTCACATATCAAGGTTTGTTCCTTTTGTAGCGAGCACTTCTGAGGTATTCAGGTGCCGCGCCTCCGGATGTTTAAACATTTGTTTTACCGAAAGTAACTTGTTGAAGGGTTGCTTCGATTCGTACTTCTTTGAGGTTGGTTGGCAAGGACTCTCTGTCCGAAGATCAGAAGTGCACCTTGGAAGTTGCCAAGATCATCAGAGAGGACCTGCAGTGGGAGAGAGACGGTTAGATTGAGCAAGTGAGTGAGTGTGGGCATGCTGTGGATGTGTGAGTGAAATTGTTGGCCTTGCTGATTGACAGTATTGATTGGAATCTTCCAACCACAACACTTGTTTAACGGACTTTGGAGGCCATCGCTAGTAGGTTAGAGGCCACGGCTAGTAGGTTGGAGGCCATCGCCAGTAGGTTGGAGGCCATCGCTAGTAGGTTGGAGGCCATCACTAGTAGGTCGGATGCCATCGCCAGTAGGTTGGAGGCCATCGCCAGTAGGTTGGAGGCCATCGCTAGTAGGTTGGAGGCCATCACTAGTAGGTCGGAGGCCATCGCCAGTAGGTTGGAGGCCATCGCCAGTAGGTTGGAGGCCATCGCTAGTAGGTTGGAGGCCATCACTAGTATGTTGGGGGGCAGAGCGGCCTTTAAACTTTAAACACGTCCTTTCTGTTTGTTTGTCATCCATTCTCCTCTCAGGACTTCCTGCAGCAAAATGGCTTCACGGAGTATGACTTCATGTGTCCTTTGGCCAAAACCATTGGCATGATGAAAGTCATCGCAACTTGGCAGCTCATGAAGCAACAAGGAAGCAAGAATCAGACAGGAGCCAACCTCTCTAATATACATCCACTGAATACTATATATACACAGATTTTCAACTGAAGGTAACATATCAATGCTTGAAACACTGTAGTCATGACTGCCCCCTGCGCGTGCTCTCTCTCTCTCTCCGCAACTTACAAATCCAGCACTCTTGCGCACAAAGTCAACAGCTTGCGATGCTCGTAGATTGAAGAAGCAAGACAACGTTCTGCGGCTTAATGGGCAATATCAATTGATTTTGATGGAACTCTTGCGACCTTCACTGACAGGGGCTTCATGGCTCTGCTATAGGCGTGGCGTGAGTTGGGTCTCAGGTAGGCTTCCACGAAGCTGCTCAGAAGATGATGGCGGAACTTTCCGGCGAGCACAAGGCAGGATGTAGAAAAAACGCTTGAAAATAATTGGGTGTTGACTGGTTTTGATAAATGGTCTCCTGCATTCGTCGTGGCGGACATTTTGATGGCGGTGTTTCAAGTATTTCAACATAGCTTTATTATAAGATATCTATCACGCAGATTCTGAAACTTTGCCATAGGTCATCATAGGTCTACGTATTTCCGGACAAAGTGAGCACTGCTGAGTTTTGCTAAGGTTGGCTGGAACACCATCAACTCTGCCATGAAGGACAGATTGCAGCGTTTTTTGCAGAATGCGAATGGGAATTGTAAGTCAGATTTTGCTTCTGAAATCAATACTAGGTATGATTGGAATCTCGTTTTGAATGAGATTTGAGGACCGCAAGTGATTGTGGTTTCGACCCTTTCAATGGCATGCTCCATTTTTGCCTACGGTTGTGCATGTAGGAAGTCGATGCAGGCACACTCACACACAATGAGCACATGGCACACGCACTGGGGAAGCTCCCCGCACGAAGTGGAGCTGGCATAAACTATTGCCTCCTTTGAGCTTCAGAATCCTAGCACCTTGAATGGCCAGTGGAGGGCTTGTTCGGATAATCAATCTGGCAAGAGTTGAACTGGGTTGAGTACCCGGTTCCCCTGCTTGAAATACCTGCGGCAAGGCAACGGCAACTGCTAGGATTCTCCACGTGTATGATTGACACGCGTATTGCGTAGGAAGGCTTCAGGAAACTCTGACGATATGAACTTCAATTGAAAGTTCCAAATTGTAGATGAGGGCTGTGCCTGAGACAGCAGGGAGACATCACGCAGAATCTCAAAACGTTTATACCTGGACAAGGAGGTTGTGCCCATATATAATTAATCTCTCTCTCAGTTATGATTTAAAATGTGGTCCTCTGATCAGTAAACACCCCTAGAATAATATCAGCACATTTCCCTGCACTGATCAATAAAGGCCCCCAGAAAAATGTTTTTGTTTTGGGGAGGGATATTTTGGGGAACATGTTTTTGTATTGTTGTTTATTGACTTGTGTCCTCTCTGGTTTAATGATTTTGAAGATCTTTGGACGCAGATGTCTTCAGTCTTGATTCCTTTCATTTTAGTCTTGCCAGAGTAGCTCCAGAGGTAGCTAAGTAATGATTCTTTATGCTTTCATCAATTGATTGGTTTTCCATCATATTATTCTAGGCTCTCTAATTGTTGGAAGGGGGAGAAGGCGGGTGATTAATCAAGGGACTACTATACATATATACACACACCGGTGGATGATTCACGTTTGTTGCAGGATATGATCAAAAAGATCACCGACATGAAGTTTGAGCTACCTCGGCAATCCGAGGCGGGGAAGATGCCGTCAATTGGACATTGGATTGCATTCTTGCAATTGCAGCATGCGTATTCTACTTATGTGTGGGAACATACCGTACAACCCTGCTGCAAGCTTGGCTTGCAAGGATTTGTCCTGCATCTTTCAAAAGCTACCCCTCCAATAACTTGACCCCAACACATGTAGAAACAATTCAATGGGGAACATCTGAAAATCTGTGGTATTTATGGGGCTCATGTTCAACCCCGTGATTACATGCCTAACACCGACTTCTTTCAGAGAAAGTGGTTCATGAGGTGGGTTGGTTGCATGTTCATTAGTTGCATTTATTTCAACGGATCAAAGTTGGCCTTGTCCTTTCTGGAACCCTGGCATTTGCAGAGACTCCATTGCTCACTAACTGCTGCCATTCACTTTCAACCTGAACTTCCATAATTCACGATGCCGGGAACTCAAAGACCATGCATCAGCTGCGGCAGGAGCACTACAAGCGCACCTTCGTGGCTCTCCACGACGAGGTGCTGGCAGCCTTCCGGACCTTGTCGGAGGACAAGTGAGAGCAAGGCAAGGTGTGGGGAGGACGAGGGAGGACGATGGAGGAGAGGTTTGGAGAAGGGCTTAGCAAGGCTGGTGTGTAGGGAAGCTGTGACTGTGCTGATTTGGTTGCAACATGCTCTTTTGGCTCGCAACACCCCTCAAGAACCTGAAAAAGATTTGCAATTGGATGCAATTGGTTCATGTTTTGTGTGGTTGCTTGCCAAAAGTATATTGCCAGGACCTAGTTCCGAAGATGCTCTATTTACAACCCATTTGGGACCCTTTCAAACCCTTTGGCTCCCAGTGCAACAAACGGGTCACGCCGTCCACATCCACTCCCAGCCACAGGCGAATGGTTTCGCTGTTTGCGCCGCAATAGTGAGCTCCACTCTCCTGGTTACCCCCTGAAGGCCACAGAAGAGGACCGCACATTCAATATACTTTGTTGGCCTCAACCTCGATGTGCTACTGCATCCATTGCTATTGATTGGCTGAAACTTCAGCGGAGATTACTATGGCTAGCTAGAATAGAATTCCACGAATTTTCAGGATTCACATTGCAGACTTAGGGTTTTTGTACTTCATCGGGAGAGTGGGGCATAGATTCTTGACCACTCAGAAAGCTCGCTCCAACAAGATCAATAGTTGGAGATGGGGTCACAGGCAGTCAAAGAGGGCCGCACACGAAAATGGAACAAGTTCTTTCAGAATCAAGTCTACAGTAGAAGGCTGTTCACGGCAGAGAGCAAGCACACATACAAACATAGTCTCAGAGGTACTAGCTGCATGAGCAAAACAGGCGCTGTGCAATCTGGCCCGCTGGCCTTTGGATGATTTTGGCAAGCGAGGGTGGCAGATACAGCACCTGCCAGTGCCCATCTTTTATGCGAAGGGACAAAAAGGTGCTCCTTTGAGAACATCATATGTTTGTAAACAGTTAGTGACGCTCCGGGGATGTTTTTGTAAACAGTTAGTTAGACGGGATGTTTAAGTTTTCAGAGCTAGGCCACTGTTGAACTGTAGGTCAAGTGTCCCTCATCTTGGAAGTGATAATCCATAGACCATAGATGATTGTCGCAAGCATCAAAATAGAGCCGCAGGGCCCTGCCTCCAGACGCTGTTTTGCCCCTCGGCTGAAATTCTTGACAGGTGTTTTCGGATACTTTTGGACTGATTTTGTATGAGAAACAGTTTATATAATAAACTCACGGGTTTTACTCATCCAGATCTCAGTCGAAGGACTTCCCACAAGCTTTCAGCTAAGCTGAGGTCTTTCTCCCTGAGCCGTCTGATCCTGATTCCACTTCTTCGGGCTTCCGAAGAGTGCAGGCGAAACGCTCGGAGATGGAATTCCTTATCGTCAGAAATTGGACAGTTGAGAGCCGTCCGCAGAGCGAATGACAGTCAACTTGACACCCGCATTTGGATGACGGCAACACAAAATTACAGCCAGATGACACCCAGCTTTGTGTTTGCCACACTGATTGAAGAATTGGAGGTTGGCCACAGTGTGGTGGGGAGGATGGACGGAGAGCAGGCACAAGCCGGACGACATGACCTTGGGACTTTGAGACCGTTGTAATTAGGTGGGTAGACACAACAGGAGTCGGTTGTTGGTTTGACCTCACAGGGAGCTGCTTCTCACAGCAGACTACCTCTAATCGATGAGTATTCATGAAAGGAGGAGCGCATGCGCAACCTCATGGTGTGGTCTCAAGGCTTAGGCTAGGGCACTCATGCGCCCTAAACCATACTAAAGCACTGTCTCACTGCTGCGTCCAGGGAGGTTTGCTCCACCTACTGCGTCGTTTTGTGCAAGGCCCGGATCAGATGATCAGATCCAAGGGTTGAAACAAAAAACACATTTTATCTTGTCTCTAGCTTGAAACTTGTGGCGCTTGTTGCGATAAAACACTACCAATGCAGAGCTCCCCCATACGAGATCTTGTCTTTGGTTTGCCTTGGAAGGACGGCTCTACGGATGGACATTGACACAACTCCTCTGGCTGCAAGTCTGCAAGTTGGAACAGCTGTGTGGAAGAATGGCACCCTAAACTTGAAAGATCCTTCGGTAACAGGTATGACCACGATTGCTCATAGAGAAGTTTTCCTGGTTTGTTGGGAGTAGTCGAACCCCATGTTTTGAATGAATCAAACAAGTGATGTTGGTGCTGCATGGCACAAATGTGTAGCACAAGCCGCATACTTGATGCATCTTGCTGGCAACCAATAGATGCTAAATTGACATGAATTGACTGCAATCTGAAGAGTTTTGATAAGGCGAAGCCACGAGCCAGGTGTGGATCGGAGGGGCGAGAGAGATGCGAAGTTGATCGGGTGCCAGAGCAAAGAAGCACAGCAACACGTGATTCTACCCGCCTTTCATTTGGAAAACCCAACTTCGGCAGTATTTTTCTTGTACTATATTATACATCATACAGATGTACAGAGTTGTTCTTCGGCCTCACCTTCGGACCTTTGGTGTTCTTGAAGGTTTGTGCGGTCCACAGCTCGCATGGCATCCTGATGCCCCTCAGCTGGCATCTGCATGCCGTGGGCACGTGGCCGTGCACCGTTGGGAGCTTAGGGAGGGCCAGAGCTCAAGGAGTAGCAATTCCGGGCAGAGCTCCAGGACGCTACTAGTAGCTCCTAGCCTTACTACTAGTAACAAAGACGCTACTAGGATCAAAGGGCATCGCTACTAGGAGCAAGGACGCTACTAGTAGCTCTTTCTGTCGTTTCCACCAAACGGTCAATACTGATAATACCATAAATTACACATCATTACACCTTCATATATTGACCTTGGAACGCACTTGACGCTGGTAAACTGGCCGACCAAATTCCAGGCCTTGTTCTCTTTAAATCTGAGGGGTGACAAGTTTGTGAACAATGTTTCACATACGCAACTACCAGAATCAAGAAACTGCCAAAAGAACAGATCAAGGACAAAATATCACTTACCAATGACTCTCTGGATCATCTGGATCCTCTTTGTGAAACCACAGCAACTGCATGCAACTGCCAGGCTTGGGTGACGGGCTCATGTGTGAGGCAAATACCACGCACTTGCATGCAGAGGTGAGTGCGGGTGAAACCTTCAAGCCGAGAACATCGCATTTCTTGACCTGGATTAATGAGATGCAGTCTCTACCCTGCTTCTGCAATCTGACTTCTTAGATTGTTGGCGTCCCAGTCATTGCATGGTGGGTCTTGATGTCGGACTATCTCAGATGCGGATCCTCAGCATGGCCTGGCAGCCGTGTGATTTGCGGAACACCTTAGCCGTCCCTAGGTTGCATGAAGGGGAGTATGAGGGGATGGGGCACGTGGAGGAAAACAAGTTACCAGTACTTGGGAAAAGATTAGCAAGCACTCAAGATCAGTGCTCGCCTTCTGTCTTGGGCTCAACTTGCTTGCAACGAGTAACCCAGCACTACTACAAACAAGAGCGTGTTTTGCAACAAGGAAAATAATCGTTTCTTACCGCTTTAAGTTTAAGTGTTGTTTTTGCTGTGTTGATTTGTCAAGACTGCCATCAGGTCTCCAGCTCCAATGCGCTTGCGCTGTGGCGGTCGTCCGGTGCCGGCGGTTGGCTTCGAGTTTGGGCGCTCACAGGGGAGGTGAGGAGATCAAAGCAAGCGATGAAGCGGACAGAGAACTCATGAGAAAACGAGGATGTTCCACTATTGATGAACCATGCTTCCAAAAAGATACACAAACAAAACGGGGCCTTAAAGAGGCCCGTACCTCCTTGTTGTCCTTTCTTTTAGTCTAGAGCTCTGTTGCCGCATGGCCACTGTGCTACTGCCTGGCCACCTGGACGTGTGGGCTCAAGATGCACAAGTGTTGCATTCGCGTTCACAATGTTTGCACAATTCCTGAACATCCTCTGCCATAGCCTCTTCACAATCCTTTTGTGCACTCGGTCAGCCTGTGGAGTCCGACCCAGCATTGAACGACTGGCTCTTGGAGAGACCCCCAAAGCGTGGCCACTCTGGGGAGATCTGTCATCCGCCACAGGTGGGAGCATGCTTTCTGTGAGATTGTCAATTCGTGGTGTTCTTGGGCCTCCGACTCAAATGAAGTCACATCAGTCCCCAAAATATTTTACAAAGTTCAGTCTGTTCAACGGAGGACCGGCAAGAACGGTCAAGCTGTTTGGAAGTTTTTGTCACGAAGCCATATTTTGATTGTTCGCGCAGGTGTCCTGGACTTGACTGGCAAAATAGAAGACTTCCGTGGTGACGAGGGTGCAGCCAAGCTGGCTGAGGTGCTGCCTACCACACAAGTCGCCCAGCTAAGCAAGAAGCGCGAGTGAAATGATGTGAAATAGAAGGAAGGAGGGTCTGTCAAGCGCTGAGTGCCGCAAACCAAACCAGTGATTCCCAAAGTTTCAAGTTGACTTTTGGATACTGAACATTTTTGGACCTGCAATTTGGCTGTCATCTCTTCTCATGACCGTGACCCATAGGAACTGCCACTGCAGCAGAGCCGCAGAGACACAGAGCTGAGGTCACCTCACTTCTCTTGGGCTTCGTTGGTATCGGCCCAGATGGTGCTGCAAGCCTGGCCAAGGTACTGCCCAGCACGAAAATTACGACCTTGAACTTGGCCGGTAATCAAATCCAAGATGAAGGTGCATTGAAGCTGGCAGAAGTCCTTCCAATGACACAGATTCATACACTGAATCTGGACCGAAATGTGATCTATACCGCCAAAAGCTTGGTTGAGAGCTTGCCAAAGACAAAGGTTACTACTCTGAGTTTGGGTTTGAATCCTCTTGGTATTCATGAAGCAGAGAAACTTGCGGAAGTGCTCCCGGAGACTCGGGTCACCACGCTGGACATGCGTCAAACTCATATTGGACACAAAGGCGCTGCTGCTTTGGCAAAGGCGCTGCCACGCATGAAATTGACAGCATTGAATTTGAACAAAGTGAGCCATGCGTCAAAGGCCGACTGGGCCATGACGTTGGCCGAAGGCCTTGCAAAGACACAGCTCACGACTCTGAACATGAGTGGCAATGTCATTGGCGATGAGGCTGCAGTGAAGCTGGCTGATGCCCTACCAGAGACGAAGATCACTATGCTAGATTTGGGTGCAGGTTCCATCGGTGAAGAAGGTGGCGTGAAGTTGGCGGAGGCCCTTCCAAAGACGCAAGTGACCACACTAGATTTGCACGACAATGATATGGGAGGTTTGGGCATTCAGCAACTTGCCAAGGCGCTTCCTGGGACCCAAATCACCACACTGAATCTGCAGGAGACCAGCATCGGTGATGAGGGTACAGAAAAGTTGGCTGAGACCCTGGCGAAGACCAAGATCACCACTCTGGATTTGAAGGGTAATGACATTGGCCTTGCTGTCTCAAAGTTGGCGGAAGTCCTTCCGGACACCCAGGTCAGCACATTGAATTTGGGATACAACTTTTTCGAAGAAGAGGGTATGGAGAAGCTGATTGAGATTTTGCCCAAAACGCAGTTAGCGACTTTGCATTTGGCCGTCAATCACCTTGGCCCTGACTGTGTTGCAAAGCTGGCTGCGGTCATGCCAAAGACCATTGTGACCACACTAGATTTGGGCTTTACCAACATCGGTCCTAAGGGTGCAGAGAAGCTGGCGGAGGTTCTGCCGAAGACACACGTCACAACCCTACTTTTAGGCTCGAATGACATTGGCAATGAAGGTGCCTTGAAGCTGGCTGAGGTCCTGCCAAGGACGAAGATCACCACGCTGGACTTGCAATTCAACAACATCGGAGATGAAGGCGCCACCAAGCTCGAAGTGATCCTTCCTGAAACAAAGGTGACTACATTGAATTTTGAAAACAATGACATCGATGATGAGAGAGCCAAGAAGATGGCAGAACAACTGGAACCGGCAGGTTATCGTGCTGAATTCTCGGAAGACCATGACCATGAACAGCCACAATCGTGACAAGATGTCACTGTGCTGTTCTCAATAGGCTGAGCGCTCAAAAGGGACTTCGCCGATCGAGGGGTCAGCACACTTTTTGACATCCAACGAAACGCCATGGCCTTGTCAGTTTCCACGGTTAAGCGGTAAGAGCAGGTGGAAGTTAGAACGAAGCCATGCGAAAGGCCACCGCGGCCTCCACAGAGTGGGAACGATGTTTCTGGAGGCCTTTGGCTCTTCGGCTCTTTCTTGGGCACCGGATGGTCGGCTCCTTGCAGCTGCAGGGCCCTGTGGTGCGGCCAGGAAGCCGAGAGACCCACATCACGACATCCGCCAAACACCATGAAATCAGTACAACCTACCACTGATTACCTTGGCATAGGCACCGGATGACACTATGAATCAACCCTACAATGCCCTACAAGAAGGAGCCTGCTAGTTTGCATTGGTCATAGACATAGATCATCCTCTTGCAACTCACATGCTACAACCACTTTCATGTTTTGATTTTTATGACTTCTAGGTCAATGAAATCAGAAGATACAGAGCATGTCTAAGCAGGTGCCTTCGACAAGAAACATGACCTTTTAAGGTCCACATTCTGGGCCCGCATAGTGAGCTCATTGGTGAGGAGGCAGCTTAGCTTGGGAGATCTTGGGAGCATTGCAGCGCTTTGGAGAGCTCTTTCATTTCTTGCTTCTCTAGACTGTTCCCTCTTTCTTGCATTTCTAGTGCACTCGAAGGGAAACTGGATGAAACTTGCCCTTTCTTTACTTTGGACAGTCTAAATGAGGAGCTGCCCAGTCACTTCGTTCGGCTTCGCCGCTGGAGTGGAGGCACGACAGGACCTCAAGCGACAAAGCAGTGTGGTTCACTGCTTCGCTCGCTATTTCTCTAAAGGTCTGCCTGTTTCTTTTCCGCACTTCAATTTTGCACCTCTCACAATTCCGACCTTTCATTTGAACAAGTTGGGAGAACTATTATTGGAAACTGTAGATTTTCTGGGTGGGCTCTGCTGGATGTGTGTTTACCCTGAGTGTTGGGTTCGCTATGGTTCGTTCCTTCGCAGTCCCAGGGGCGGTGCTGCGAGTGAGCTGGTCGCCCGAGGCGACCCTGTTGGCCGTTGGGGCTCAGTGCAGGTCAAAGGGGAAAGGAGATGGCAACCCAACCATTGTTTTTGCTCGCCCTTAAGCGCCTACTAAATCAAGTCTATGGGACATGGACGCAGGATAAGCTCATGCTTCAAGGAAGCATAACCCGCCTGAGGGCGGAGGGGGAGCTTCCTTGAAGAAGCGTTCGCAGTATTCATTTGGTTTCTAGATTCCTAGAGATGCATTTGCTGATTCCGTTTATTGTCATGTTCTGTTCTCAGATTCGAAGCGACGTGCTGAGGCCCTCCACGCTGGACAGGAACCACTTGTCAGGCTTTGGAAGACGCAAAGCTGGGAGGAGCATCTGGCATGTTGGAGGGTACAGTTTGCCGATGGCCCTTTTGCTTTTGGGAACGCAAAGCTGCCCAATGTGCCATCCTTATGGTTGAGAAGCCGTGAATGGCACTCGATGGCACTAGATGGCACTAAGTACACTTGCTGGAAGATGCTGGAAGCTGTGGAAGCTGCCTACTGTTGCCTACTGGTACTTAGTGACATTGAGTGATCCCAGAAGGGCAAAATGCAGTGTCATGCGTCCGCAAGTTCAAGACCCACCAATGGTCATATGGTCAATTTGTGAAAGTGCATAATGAGTCTAAAATCACAAAGCAAAATCACAGAGCTTCTTAGAAGCGTATGACTTATGATGACCCTTTTTTCCTTGAAGTTTTAAGGTGTTTCGACCAGCTTCGAAGTCTCTTAACCGATTGGAGCCGTGCAAAGTCAGGTGGCCGTTCACGTGGGGCTCGGATGGGTTCGTGCAGGGCTGCCAGGCCATGGGTTGCAGAAGCTGATGGACATGGCTCAACTGACCAGGTTCCTGCTTATTTTCCCGTTGACAGCGTACACGTGATTAGATTGGAATATATCATTTGGAGCCATCAAGGGCTGTGCTGCGTGTGGGTTCATCCAAGCACTGCGAAAGCACGAAAGTGCGCAGGGGAGGTTGGAAGAATCCAAAAAGCATCATCTGCACACCGAACCGGATCATCCTTTCATAGTGCCTCTTCTTATTTTCAGACACTCACAATAAAACTGATGATGTGTTGCAGCATGGGGGTAAAACAAGGAAGCACCGGACCGAAATCAGAAATCCCATAGTAGCAAGAAGCTACTAGGGGCTCCTGGCCTCCCTACTAGGAGCAAGAACGCTATTAGGGGCTCATCTTGCAACTCCCTGGATCTCCCTGGTGCGCCAGGCTTCTCATTGGCTTGGTTGAACGGTGACACGCTGCTTGCCACCGGCGGTGGCCACTTAGTGGAGATCGGTGTAGGACAGACATTTGTTGCCCGGACATGTGGAACTTGACAACCTTTGGACCACTCATGGGGTGACCACGATTTCCCCAGAGCAGAATTCCATGTGAAAATAAGGAGGCATTCACAATGGGAAATAATTATGGAAAGAATTGTTCAGTGCTGTGGATATCAATGCAGGATGCAGGAGCATGCATGGCTGAACCCGCCCAATTTCCACATCCACTCCTATTCAAATCGTACAGGAAGTCCTGGTGTGGTGAACGCCGGCAGTGCCCATCTTGGTCAGGCGCAGATTTAGACTAGACAGCCAGTCTGCACATAACAAAAAAGATCGGCTGGCGAGGTGAATGGCATTACTAGACTGTGATGTGTGTAATCAGCAATCAGGTGGAATCTAATGAAAGCTCCCGAAAACGCTACTAGTAGCAAAGGGCATCGCTACTAGGAGCAAGGACGCTACTAGGGGCTCCTGGCCTTACTACTAGTAACAAGAAGCTACTAGGAACAAAGGGGGCTCTCGACAGCCCGTAGTAGCGTCCTTTGCTCCTAGTAGCGATGCCCTTTGTTACTAGTAGCAAGAATGTTCCTAGTAGCAATGCCAGGAGCCCCTAGTAGCAAAGTTTACATGACTCATCGACACTACGCACAGGATTCCGTCCTAGGGCTCTCTGGAACAGAGCCAGAGGTGCGGGCTGTCCCTCTCGCACAGGAGAGGGCGCACGCAGTGCACTGCGTGCACGCACGGACACAAATCGCTTGAACTTTTCGGTTGAGATTTGCCACACATCACCTTACAAACATGGCTGCAGTTGCATATCGATCTGAATGATACCTACGCAGCGCAATCACCCAAACCAGTCAACAGTCAACTGCTGTCGGTTTACATGGGTTTACTATCTACACCAAGGACTTAGTAGCTTCTTGTTACTAGTAGCAATGGCCTCCAACCTACTTGCGATGGCCTCCACCTAATAGCGATGGCCTCCAACCTAGTAGCTTTTTGTTACTAGTAGTAATGCCCTTGTTACTAGTAGCACCAAGGACCCAACCCATCCTCTTCTTTCGTCACCCTCTTACGAGGATTCGCCGGTGCAAGAAGTGGCGGTTTGCCCCCGTACAGCTCAACGAGTGGCTGTGCGGTTGGATGGGTGTCGAGAGGTGCGAAAACCCGCATCGCCATTTGCCTCGACCAATTCGAACATGAGATGGAGCGAGATGGAGCGAGGGTTCTTCAAAGAAGCATCTTTAGGCTGAATGAAGAACAAATGCACCCAGAAGTCGTTTCTGTGTTCAAGGGCAGTGAAGTCTTGAGATTACACGTGCAGACTGCATCACCATCGCAAACGGTGAAGGAGTGCAGTTGCTTGGTACTTCAGGATGTTTATTGCATTATTAAGCGCTCCCTTTGACAGGTGCTGATCTACGAGCGTGCCACCTGTGGTTTGGCGGGTTGGTCGCATCGGGAGTTGGAAGCCTCGGAAAGCCACGTATCAAAAAGGCCAGCATTCTTTGACTGTAGAATCGTAGAATCTACTGTAGAATCGAATGTCACAAATGCAACTGATGGGCAGGAATGAACGTGAGATGCACCAGCGGAATAACCTGGAAAGATGCGGAAGATTTGCCATCACTAAACAAGAGCAATGAACTTGCTAGCGGGAGGTCCTTGTAGAGCCCCTCTGAGGCTCATGCCCTGTGGGCGCTTGGCTGCGCCAGGTGCCTTTCCGCAGGCATTGGCCTTTGCAGAGAAGGCAAAGGCCATGGGCAGTCCTGAGAGCGAAGGCACAGCTGGGCGCAGCTTTTGCAGCAGTAAGCCACATTGACTGGTTCAAACCATGCAGTTCCATGTTTCCTCTTGAGACAGAGGCACTGGTTCAAAAAATGACAGAGGCACTGGTTTGAGACGTCTGGATTTGGAGGCTCGTTGCTAGCGGTACATTGGCTTTTCGACTGTGGTCACAGTGAGGCCAGGAAGCTTTTGAGACACTGCTCCTGTTGAAGTCTTGTTCCTCCAACATTTGCCCTTCATCCAAGTATACGGTATATTGCATGAAAATGTATATATAAATATAGCAGAACTTGCATAAACATACAACATTCTAAACCGCCCGTGGATGTGGACTGATGTGGAGATTTCGGACAGATCTAACTTCCACAGAGAGCGGCAAAGAGACGTCTCGTCCGCAGGTGAGAACTTATCCGTTTCATTACCTGCCTGCAAAACTCTTGCAGAACAGTGCAGTCCATACCTAAGTTTGCGCAGCACACGCAACACATCAAGAATGTGTTTGAGGCCTTTCCGTAGGGCCTAGGGTCTCTTTTAAGGCCCAAGCCTGGGATGCATATTCACGTCGCTTCGCGACGGTAACCGCCCGCACCGCATGGAAGGGGCCAATATTTCAGTGACTTCTAGGGCTATGTTAGGCAATATCTTCACTCTATTCCAGTCCCTTTTGAGCCTTCGTTGGGCCATGTTTACGACGTTCAAGTACCTATCTCGGGGAAGCATACTTGAGATAGTGACTTCTGGGGTTATGTTCGACCATATGGGAGCTATGCTCGTGAGTCTGCTCCTGACCACCATTCCTGGACCTTATCTTTCCTTATCTCTGCTCCTGACCAGCCACGTACCCGGACTTCAAGTCCCTATCTCGCAGACACGTCCGTTAGATAGTGACTTCTAGGGCTATGTTACGCAACATGGAAGCTATGTTGAGCCCCGTTAGGGGCACCTGTTCAGCCAAATGTCCGGCCTCAGTCCAATTACACTTTACCGCTCAGATGATGCAGATGATGCAAAGCAGAAAATTGCATTTCTTGCATCACTAAAGGCTTCAAGATAGCAAAATTAGCACGCACTTATCTTCCAGCACTTTAAGCCGGTTCCAAAAACGTGCAAAAACACAGGATTCTAGAGCGAAAATGGCCCCCCCTAGCTAAAGCTATATTAGTACTTGCGGTACTTGCGGTATAATGCGTGCCTTATAAAAACGCCTCAGCACCTTCGGTGCGGGCGGATTTTTGACGATTTTCTCTAAGGCCACGGGTCTCTTCTAGTGAGGTGCTCAGAGCTCCCCTTGCTTCAGAGAGTAAACACTTGGCTCATGAAATCTCTTGTGCCTCTGAAATCTCTTGTGACTCATGTTACTCAGGCCAAGATCTGAGACAATGCTTGAAAATGGAAGCCCAAGTGGAAAGCTTGCAACGTGTGAAGCCACCATGAACCCCAATTGAAATATTACACTCTGGCCCGGCATTCTCCCTCATTATGTTGTGCTCAAAGCTGGATAAGCTATAGTTGGGATCCACACAGAACAAAGCATGCAGGTTTTGGATGGCAAGACAGAGCATTCTTTCCACTCAAGCTTTGACGCTCAACGGGCACAGGCATGTTTATGGTGTCAGGAAACATAATACCATGATGCCTTCTGCATCTAAGCCTCTAAGCCAGTCGTCCTTCTTTGTGCCTTGTGTCCACCAAAGTGACGCCATGGCAGATGAAGAGAAGGACCGAGAAGGATCAAGCTTACTGTTCAGCAGGTACTACCTGGTAGGTATTACCCTGACATGCTGCGGGCCTTAGGCGGCCTTGAGCTAATAGGTCTTGATTTGTTCAGCTTCGCTTGGACTTGATGTTCAGTTCTGTGGACCCTCAACTGTCGCGCTCCACTTGCTTATTCACATGATTCCACAGTATGGAACACTTGTTGGAGATACGTCGCTGGAACCACCAAAGGCCGAGCACATCCAACGATCCAAAGTTACGAACGAACATCCACAGAAATACGCATAGGGGAGCCCCAAGACTATGTCAAGACAGCGTTGAGAGAAGCCACCCATTGGTCACTGGTCCACCCATTGCTGCACCCACGCCATTGACGATGTATCATCAGCGACTGATGCGTCTAATTGGAACTCCCAAGGACGACCATGAATGATGCAAGTATTACATGATGGGTTGTATTGCCATTGCATGGTGAACAAGCCGCGTTAAATCTGGCCTATTGGCAGCCTATTGGCACCTTCAGTGCAAGAGGATTCTGGAATATTTTCGGCGAGATCTTGCACCAGAAATGAAGTTTGCTTTGTGGGAGATGTTGCGGACAGATGAACATGTTGCGGAAGCGCACCCTCTGGACTGTCAGGATGAGACATTCTTTTTGGAGATCTTTCCAGATTCGTCCAAGCTGGATGCCTTGCCCTGAAACAGTCAGTTGCCTTTGTGAGTGCGCACATTGAAATCGCAAATCATTTACCACGTTGTAAGTTGCTGGCACATACTAAATCGATCTAAATCGTAGTTTCTGCTACTTAAATCAACTTGAGGGCATGTCCGTGCATGTCACTACCCTTCCTGCTGAATCAAGGCCTATGCCATGGCTTTTGATGACATCCAGGCATTTTTGTTGTGGTCCATTGTTGCAAAGTCATCCGTGAGCAACCTTTCAAGTTTTCTACATTCAACAGATTCCAAAACGCAGCAAATGCCAGCGGGGAAGAGTCTTTAGTGTCTTTTAAGAAAGCAGATCTTGCAGGTCTTTGAAGAAGCGGGTCACCCGAGAGAACAGAGCTCAGGGCCAGAAACCACTGGCGAGTGCTCCAAAAAAAGGACAAAGTAGAGTCTAACTCTTTTTGCTGTGAATTCAAACGTGCCCCCTGGATGAACCTCTTCGCCAACAAAATCGTGATGTGTTTTTTACACAAAAAACATCTCCCAGAAGCACCCTTTCTGGAAAAAAAATCGCAGGTATCAACCGGAACTTGACAGAATGAGCACTGTGGACAGTGAATGTGTCCCTCAAGCAAGCTCAAAAAGTTTGGGCTCGAGGCAGCACTTTCAGGCCTCTTTCATGTGGCGCAGTGTGCCGAAGCAAAGTGCCCTGTCTGTTGATTGCCTGAACCTCTTGGTTGTTGCATTCTGATCTTAGTTGCTTGCGTAGCAGCTCTTGCGGCTTCTTTGATGAGCCAAAACAGAGAGAGAGAGAGAGATAGAGGGAGAGAGACTGTAGATTATTAATATTTTCCGCAATCAAGCTCAACAGGTCTGAGCAACAGCTTTGAG